GTAGCGCGCGCCTGTAATTTCCAGCTACTCGGAAGACTGAGGCGGAAGGATCGCCGGAGCCCAGCAGGCGAGGCTGCGGTGGCCGGGAGCGGCCACTGCACTCCAGTCTGGGCGACAGAGTGAGACTCCAACTCAAAAAAAAAAAAATGAAGTGGCCGATCCTTCTAAATTGGAGGGAGGCAAGAACAAGGAGAATAACAGCATTCATGAGAATGCTGTTTCCTATTTAGCTAGTGTATGATGGATTAATGACAAAAGTCACTCAGAGAAGCCTAAAGCTTTCAGAAAAACTTGGCAAATTCTCTGCCTTGGTGATCTCATAAACTAAGTGGGGAGTGAGAAAGCACTCACTTTGGCAAGGCAAACTGGAAAGGAGACACTGCTAGGAATAACAGAAAGCTGCAGCGCATCACCTGAAAATCCTATTCTACTTTCTTGCTCCCAAAAGAAAACAAGGTATGATATACCAAAGAAAAATTATGTAAATATCAAGTGAAGCATGCAGCTCCTTACTCAGGTCTGAAACAGTCAAACATCAGAAGCCTAACTCAAAGCAGTCATTGAACTGTGGAAAAATCTGTCTCCTTTGAGTGACAAAACCGGAAAGATACCTGCAAGTTGGAGTAACTGAAACAAAGCTTCACTTACGCATGACTTCCATGACCCGGTGGCGCAGAAAAGTACGGCTGCTCTGGAGGGCTCCAAAACGTTTCAAGTCCAACCCCCAGACATTTTCTGAGGGATAACCATGAACTATCCATTCAGCAAGGTACCTGTTTAGATTGGTGGAAGGATGGGGGTTGTTGGGCCTCAGATGTGATGTTTCAGAGAATAAAAGAACCAACAGAATCAAAAGATCCTACATTGTCACAGACCAGTTGAACAGTTCTGAGAAATTTCCTTAACTTTTCTGGTAGAAGCAAGCATGGACTCATGGACTCCTCTCAAAAGACCACTATGAGGATTTTGGCTCTAATGAGAAGATTCCCCAGAAAGTGTTTAAGATATAAGTCACATCTATGAAGAAATAAAACTATATGCAAATGTACTCTAATTTATACACCCAATGGTTTCTCCCCACCCAAAAAGACAGGGTCTCAGTCTGTCGCCCAGGCTGGAGTACAGTGGCATGATTATAGCTTACTGCAGCCTTGAATTCCTTGGCTCAAGCAATCCTACCTCAGCCTCCCAAAAAGGTGGGACTATAGATGTGTGCCACTATAATTTTTTTATTTTTTGTGAAAACGGAGTCTCACTTTGTTGCCCAGGCTGGTCTTGAAGTCCTGGCTTCAACTGATTCTCCCTTCTCAGCCTGTTGAGTAGATGGGATTATAGATGTGTGCCACCATGCTCAGCTGATCTTTTATTTTTTGTAGAAATGGGGGTCTCGTTTAGTTGCCAAGGCTGGTCTCAAAGTCCTGGCTTCAAGTGATCCCCCTGTCTCAGCCTCCCAAAGTGCTGGGAATTATAGGCATGAGTCACAGTGCTCAGCCCTCTAATGTTTTTTTTCTGTAAAATAGTCATCTCAGGAGATTATACAGTTATCTGGCCACATCTTCTTTGCTCCAAGCATTTCTTCTGTAATTGTTTTCAAAGTCATTCTACAAGTCACTCAAGAAAACGGGCCTCATTAATTTTAAAAATGTTTTTAAATTGTGGTAAAATACATATAACATAAAATTTACCATCTTAAGTATTTTATTTTATTTTATTTTGAGTTGGAGTCTCACTCTGTTGTCCAGACTGGAGTGCAGTGGCATGCTCCTGGCCACCGCAGCCTCAACCTGCTGGGCTCCGGTGATCCTTTCGCCTCAGCCTTCCAAGTAGCTGGAACTACAGGTGCGTGCTACCATGCCCGGCTAATTTTTTTGATTTATTGTAAAGATGAGGTCTCGCTAAGTTGTCCAGGAGGGTCTTGAACCTATGGGCTCAGGCAATTCACACCTCGGCCTCCCAAAGCACGGGATTACAGGCTGAGCCACTGAGCCCGGCCCATCTTAAGTATTTTAAAATGTATAGTTCAGTGGCATTGTACATTCACATTGCTGTGTAACCCTCACCACCATCCATCTCTAGACCTCTTCTCTTTTATTTTTTTTGAGTTGGAGTCTCACTCTGTCGCCCAGACTGGAGTGCAGTGGCCGCTCCCGGCCACCGCAGCCTCGACCTGCTGGGCTCTGGCGATCCTTCCGCCTCAGCCTTCCGAGTAGCCGGAATTACAGGCATGCGCTACCACGCCCGGCTGATTTTTTGATTTATTGTAGAGATGAAGTCTCGCTGCCCAGGTGGGTCTCGAACCCGTGGGCTCAGGCAATCCACTCACCTCAGCCTCCCAAAGTGTGGGATTACAGGCTGAGCCACCGAGCCTGGCAGAACTCTTCTCTTTTAAAACTGAAACTCTGGGCTGGGCACAATGGCTCACACCGATGTAATTTTAGCACTTTGGGAGGCTAAGGTGGGAGGAGAGCCTGAACCCAGAAGTTCAAGAGCAGCGTAGGCAACACAGCAAGAGCTTGTCTCTGTTAAAAAAAAAAAAGGCCGGGAGTGGTGGCTCACATCTATAATCCCAGCACTTTTGGAGGCTAAGATGAGATGATTACTTGAGCCCGTGGGTTTGAGACCAGCCTGGGCAACTTGGCAAGACCTTGTCTCTATAATAAATCAAAAAATTAGCCAGGCATGGTGGCATGTGCCTGCAGTTCCAGCTATTTGGAAGGCTGAAATGGAAGGATCACCTGGGCCCAACAGGTCGAGGCTGCGGTGGCTGGGAGCATGCCACTGCACTCCAACCTGGGCAACAGAGTGAGACTCCAATTCAAAAAAAAAAAAAATCAAAAAAATTAGCCATGCTTGGTGGCACATTCCTGTAGTCCTAGCTACTCAGAAGACTAAGGTGGAAGGATCACCTGAGCCCAAGAGGTAGAAGCTGCGGTGAGTTGTAATTGTGTCACTGCACTCCAGCCCAAACAACAGAATAAGATCACAACTCAAACAAAAACAAAAACAAAATTGAAATTCTGTATCCAATGAAAAAGAACTCCCTTTCCCTGGCAACAACCATAGTACTTGCTGTTGCTATAGATTTCTCTAGGTGCCTCGTAAGTGGAATCACATTATATATCCTTTTGTGACTGGCCTATTTAATTTTTACTAGTACATAATCTTTTTATTTATTTTTAAAATTTTATCTTTTTGTAGAGACAGAGTCTCATTATATTGCTCAGGCTGGCCTCAAACCCCTGGGCTCAAGTGATGCTCCTACCCTCAGCCTCCTAAAGTTCTACAATTATAGTTAATGAGTCACTGTGCTCAGCCTCTCATTCTTATTTTTCATTTTTATTTTTTGAGTCAGAGTCTCACTCTGTTGTCCAGGCTGGAGTGCAGTGGCACACTCTCGGCCACCCCAGCATTGACCTGCTGCGCAAAGGCGGTCCTTCTGCCTCAGTCTTCCAAGTAGCTGGAACTACAGGCATGTGCCACCACGTCCGACTAATTTTTTTGATTTATTGAAGAGACGAGGTCTCACCAAGTTGCCCAGGCTGGTTTTGAACCCCTGGACTCAAGCAATCCTCTCACCTTGGCCTCTCAAAGTGCTGGGATTATAGGTTTGAGCCACTGTGCCCAGCCAGCTTCTCATCATGAAATATTAAATATTACCCAATTTGATCCTGTAACTTCCTGATCACATTTCGCTACTTTCAAACTCAAATACACACTCAAAGTACCAACAGTTGTTACAACTGAAAAAGTACAAAAGGACATCCCATAGACTCTGTGGCTAACTCCCAAAGAGGAGTTCCAAAAACATTTTGTATAATGACATTTCTAGAATACTGGGGGAGCTGCCCATACTTTGCAGGGGACAACTCTCAAGTTACAACTCTCTTCTTCTTCTTCTTAGCATACTAGGTTAAATATATTACATACCATGTTAACAACAAGTAATTCTAGAAGGGAAGAAGCCCAGCAAGCTGACATATGTTCACAGCTGACTGAATGACAAAGACTTACTTTCCAGCTCCTCCACCAAACGAAAGGCCAGCAGAGTTCATCCCTGCCAGGACAAAGTAGCCCTGGACTGCAGGAGATTCGCCCATGATGCACCTCATATCTGGTGTGAAGGTCTCAGGGCAATTCACCAACTTCATGATCTCCAGAGTCTCCAACTCTGGCATCCTCCGTAGGAGGGAACTCAACAGGGGCTCTGAGCAACACAAACAGATCCAAACCAAGTTCTCACTTGTGAGGAATTAAAAACTCATAACCAGCCAGTCGTGGTGGCTCAAGCCTGCAATCCCAGCACTTTGGGAGGCAGAGGCGAGAGAATGGCCTGAGCCCATGGGTTTGAGACCAGCCTCAGCAACATGGTGAGACCTCGTCTCTACAATATATCAAATGATTAGGTGGGTATGGTAGCATGTACCTGTAGTTCCAGCTACTTGGAAGGCTGAGGTGGAAGGATCACAAGAGCCCAGCAGGTTGATGCTGGGGTGGCCATGAGTGTGCCACTGCCCTCCAGTCTGGGTGATAGAGTAAGACTCCAATTAAAAAAAAACAAACAAAAAATTTGTAACCCTTTTACTTTTTATTCTCTCTCCTTTCAGAAAATTTTTTGGGAAATACTTTTCCAAGAACCAGCTGGTCCATTTATCAGAAAGCAGAAAGCTAGGTGGCATTACAGGATAGGACACAGTTGCAAAGAGCTAGGCATAAAGACTGAGGAAAAAAGATACTCTTTAGAAAGGAAAGGAGCTACCAAATAACAAGTAGTACATGTGATTACAGATAATAATCTCAAGGGAGTCAGTATGAGCAGAAAAGCTCTTAAATGCAGCCAAAGAGATTCCCTTTTTTTTTTTTTTGAGTCAGAGTCTCACTCCGTTGCCCAGGTTGGAGTGCAGTGGCATGCTCACAGTCACCATAGCTTCAACTTGCTAGGCTCAGGTGATCCTTTCACCTCAGCCTTCCAAGTAGCTGGAACTATAGGTGTGTGCCACCACGCCCGACTAATTTTCTTGATTTATTGTAGAGATGGAGGTCTCACCAAGTTGCCCAAACTCCTGGGCTCAGGCAATCCTCTCACCTCCACCTCTCAAAGTGCTGGGATTACAGGCGTGAGCCACCACGCCCAGCCAAGAGACTTCAATGAAAGGTGATGTTCTCCTACACTAGAATAGCAGAAAAAGATATCCTCACCCTGTTTTAAAGGAAATCTACCATCTGGTCATAATATAGTGGGACAGTGGTAACAGATGAAACCAAACTGGAGTTGGATGATGGGTACATGGAGGGTTCATCATATTACTCTATCCACTTTTATAAGTTTGAAACTTTCCAAAAGAAGTTGATTTAACACTTTGCACTCAGAGACATCTTGCAGATCACCTACCAGCAACTTGAAATGGTGAAAGATGAATCACTTCATATTAAATAGTATAGCACTGGAAGAAATTATTTTATTGCAATGATATTTGGCTTATAATGAAAATTTTGAACATTGAGGAACTTATTTATGACCAAAAAAATCAAAACTTTATATCTTTTTTTTTTTTTTTTTTTTAG